TTTGGATACATGCTTAATTCTCGGCCGTCGCCTTTAGAGCTTGTTTTAAGTCATTCGGTAGTGAGTATTTTATAGATCTTAGAAATTTTGCAAAGAACTTGCTCTTAGAGCCAGTCATTCTATTTGTTTGTCGATTATCTTCCGAAAAAGGCAACTGCTACTGACAACTGATCTCGTGTAACGCGCGAAATACTCTGCATTTCACGAATTTAGAATCAGCTTCTGAGCCACAATGAAATTATATAGGATTTGTTTAAAACATCTTTACAAAACGGTGTCCGTTTGGCAAACAGCCAATTTTGGTATTAGCATACAAACGAATCAGAAACGCTCCAGTCATACCTTCAGTATTAGAAGAATTTGAAGTCGAGCCGAATTTCCCAGAACTTATCGGATCCGTTGGACAAGGATCAATATATTAATCAGTATGAATAGCAAGTGTATTTTCCTTTGTCTGTTTTCATCAAGTTCTCTAATGAATAGTAAGAATGGCAAAATAATGAAGTAAGTAGAGAGAACTAGCGATTCTTGTCCCAGAATGCGCCACGAATCAGGCACCCACCTTGAGACGTAGAACAATTGGATGTGTAATCGATCTATGAGAATTTTTTCTTATTTGGCTACTTGCCCCACAGACAGAATTCGACGCTGAATGACCTTAAAAATTTTTTTCAGCTAGGGATAAGTGGAGTGCTCGTAAATGGTGCAAGTACTTATTTGATATTGAAGATGAAAGTGCTACAAACATCTTTTGGCTATTTGACTGCATTTCATACATTATCGAATGCTTTTCTAACTTCAGCATATATTCTGTGGGTAGCCCCATGTATTATATGGTAAGTATTTTGTTCGCTTTTAATTAACGTCAGGTAGAGAAGCTGCTATCCCAACTTCAGCTCGAATAGAACCCTATTCTCAATGCCTCACTAGTTAGAGATGGTGAGGCTAATGATCCTTCTGGGCAGTTTTGTATATCTAGTTGTGCTTGTCCTGGACATTACTATCGCAAAAATTTCCTTCAGGGATTTTTCCGGTGCCTTCGGAGTGAATCGATCCATAGGTCAGATGACTCTTATTGCTCAATGTGGTGCTTACCTCTCAATGCTTCTGCTCTCTTTGAATCGCTTTGTTTGCGTTTTCATGCCAATCAAATATACAACAATTTTTGCGAACCGTTCTACTATTTTATTTATTATTTTGTCGTTTTTGGCAAGCCTAGCGTATGGGTGTATTTATTTCGACGGTGAGTAGTACATTACACTAAAAATTATACATTAGTCAAAATAAGAATTATATTTCAGCACCATGCTATTTCATTTTCGACCACACTTCTTTGCAATTCACCTTCAGCGATACTGAATGTGGACATGTTCTGTCCGATTATGTAGATTACTGGTTCAGTATAGTTTTATTCACTATCGCATGTGTACTGGACTTGGCTACGCTGATCAAGCTACAATTGGTAAGTTCTATTTTTGTGGTCAATTTCCGCTTGAGCTGGACCCTCACTACCGTCAAATACATCAACTTTATCACCTGCCATACCCTGACGTGCGAGCTCTTTGGAAAGGACCCAGCAGTGTCATTTTAGGAGCCATTCTATTCCGAGAATACTTTCCGAGCGCGAATATTAAAGCACATCCTTCCTTTGAAAGAATTTTCAAAAACCGTAACCGCCGTGCAAGTACAGTCGTTCATTTGGCGTTAAGAAGTATCAACTGGGCAATGGTCCAGCTGAGATACTATGAGTTCGCTCTGAAAGTCCGAGCACCTTTCTTTTCTTCGGTTGACCCATAGTTGACTGTAATAGCTATCAATGAAGAATATATGATGCGTCAGAATTGAACACTGACAAGGTTACTATGGACAGATATTGAGTTGGGGGTGAGATGCGTAAGGATGGCAACCACAGCGATAGGTTTGTATCCTGCACCCCCCTGGAACAGAAGGAAGAAAAACGTTTCACGAGCATTTTCGTTGGCCGACGACTAACTCAGTTGAGCGCATCCACCGTTATTAGGATTAGGGTTTAGCTCGACTAGTCCCTGCTCCGGCTGGGCAACGACCAGCCTGAGATATTCCAATTTGAAATGCCTCACTCTTTAGAGTTCAAGAAAATTACAAAGGCATTGACAGTTTTGAATATTTTTTCTTACAGATCATTCGAGAGGGAAACACTCACTTTATAAGCACATCTCCATCTCGGTTTAAAAAAGATCTACGATTTTTTGCGCAGGTACTGAGTTTTTTCTAGGCTCATCCACCTTTTTAGAAATGGGTGTTTCTAAAGAACTACCAGCCAATCGGCATCAGCCATCGCTTAGAATTGGCAAAAAATCGGTGTCTATAGGGGCTGAGGACCCCACAGGAGCCGAATATCATCGGCAGTAGAGAGAGGCAGTAGAGGAGATCTCAAAATGAATGGTGATCACGGAATTTCACCATCGGCTGAGCTAAATAAAAATTTCCAGACAATCTGCTCAACTGCTTTATTCTCGTTGACCGTCGTCAGCTTTCATACGATAGCATTATTTGTATCTGGGAGAATGGCAAAGTTTTGCGCAACTACTCTCATCTGGGGAGTAAATCATTCTGGGGCAGGGTATGCCGTTTTATTCACAGATATCAATCGATCCTAACTTTATACTTATACTTTTTGTGCCAAATGTTCTGAGCGTTGTTGGTTTCAGATTCATCGTCGTTGCTTTCAATAGTGACATCCGAAAGGCTATTCTTGTGCTGGTACGGCTGAATACGCCAACGTCGACTAAAGTGACTTCATGGCATCCGCCACAAGATAGAACAATTCAAATCAGAACTACATTATGAATCCTTTATTTGCTCTGAGTTCTCTTTTCACTTATCGTCGTTCACTATTAAAAGCTTCACCCAGCTCAACCACATATGGTCTTCCCCGGGTTAACTATCTATCTGAAAGAACTCATGGTACAATAACCACAAATCAATTTTTGTTTTGCCACATAATCCTTTTTCTTGCAATTGAATTACGAAGACATTGAATTATCAATACATGGCTCCCCTTCATACAGCATTTTGCTGAGACTCTAAGGGTTAATTAGCGGTAGCACCCTTGTTGGTTTTCAACTCAGCTCGACGAGCTGGATCCAAAGACAAGAATAATGAAAACCTGAACAAACTCGTGGTGCTGATCCACAGCAAACATCACGTGAAACTCGTAAGTATCACACATTAATAACACAAATTATATCGAAAATTTACTTGAAAAAACTGTTATCTGTGACAAAACTGCAAGGTTCTAAGTAAGCATAGAGAGCTATGAAAAAAAGGCCACACAGGGAAGCAACTGGTTGCTGGTTTCCTTGAACAAGCAGAGTAACCCATAGGATTACTTCATTTTTTATCATAAATGGATGAAAATTTGCGTAAAATAAAAAACACAAAACAACTACTCTCCATATCGATAAATGTCTCTATTCCTACGGCTAAACAACCACTGTTGGTGACTTTCATTCCCGCTTTCAATTAAAGGATCTTTGCAGACAAGAAAACTAAAGAACAGCTGACACCATTTAGACCAAGTGCCGGTGATCAAATTCATAATCATTATAAAGTGTTAAGAATGATATCAAAAGATGCGCGATAATTATCAGATTCGACTGAATGTCAATTTTCTTAGAAAATTCCTGGATTTCGGTGACTAGTTCAGTTCTGCATAACACGATTCACAAATTATATCAGAATATTAAGCCTGAGAATTTGATGTTTCCCTTAAGCCAAGCAATTTCCCATCAATAAACTGCAAAAAGCTGGCTCATACAAATGTAGGATACAATCGAAAAGAAATTCGGCATGAAACAGAACTGATGATTTACAGTTACATGAACAAGAAAGTAAAGGTGGAATGAAAAGAAGAACCGAGCTCAGTGTTCAGGAGACGGAGGAACATCAGCTTCTTTGATAGTCTTCTTTTTCTTGTAAATTTCTCGCGCTATCAACCGCTGGACGCGGCTCAGACGATCGTGGACACTTCCCATGATCTTTAAAATATTGGTTGATAGTTGCAGAAAATAATAGGAAAAATGAGTAGTACAGTAAACTACCCCATTTTTCTAGCACTTTGCCAAATCTGTAAAAAACAGGGTCTGTTCACTGCACTACCGCCCTCTAAGAAGGAATTACACTGGAGCCTCAAACTTTCATCTAGATATTCCACTGGGGTGTCAACTTCTTTCACTTCCTCGGCTATTTATGCCTCTCAAACAACAACACCCACATACTTATCTACCCTTCCTACACTCTGAGAAAATCAATCAAACTAAAAAGGGGCCAAAAGGGTCAGAAAAGGAAAGCCGCTAAACTCAAAAAGTAAACATTTGACATACATGGATGGTATGAGAGATAAGGGAGACCTTGAAATGAAATAAAAGTTTCCACGCTTGGAACAAACTTTCATTTACTAAATCCTTATTGTCTCCAATATGTTCATAGGAACAGAAAAATTAAGAAAGAAGTGGTACGCAAACGTTACAGCTACCGTAGAACCTACTATAAAGATAGAAAGATGTAGGAAACCAGAGAATAGTCGAAAGCAAGAAGAAAGCAACATATAAAAATAGTATAGAACTGAAAGAAAAAGCGGAAGAGGTGAAATCGAGCCAGCTATGCAAATGATTCACGATGAGAATTTCAGAAAGGTACTTAAAAGCTTCGATTCCGAAGAATTAAATGGGCAAAAATCGAGTATGCATTTAGCCTTTGTAACACGCTAATGAGCTATTAGAACTTCTAGACAACTAAATCTTATTGCAGGGCTCTATTTTTCATACGTCATCCCCACAATGAAACCGTTTGCCTTTCACCCATAAGTCAATGTGGATGAGGCTGGAGTTACTGAGCATACTACAGAGAAGACACGAGGTCTATTCAACGACTGACCCTATATAGGACCCTTAGGTTCCCTTCATTCTCTAAATCTTCGCGGTCTGGCGTTCCAACAAACAGCAAAGCCTTCTACTTGCCTCAGAGACCAGGAGTGTCAGTTAAGAATTACAGCCATACCTAACCATAGTATTTCGGGTCAGGACAAATGTACAACGCATTGAGTAATTGTCTCTAGTAACACCACCAGTGAATTTATACGACTAGAGACGGTGTATTTAGAATGACTAGCTCTCAAGGAAACCACAATTAATGTAAAAGAAAAAAGGTTAGAAAATCGAAAGAACGTACCTGGCTTACATTATTTACTCTGCGTTTAGAATCGTGAAGCTTGCCAACGTATGCTTGTATATCGTATGGTTCTTCGTGCTCATTCAACTCGTGCAGAAACTAAATAGAATGAAAATTCAATCAACTTGTGCAAAGATCATCAAATGTAAACTTATCCTTCAAAAAGCTACCAAAAAAAAANAAAAAAAACGCACCTCAGCCATTTCGTTAATTTTTGCATTCATTTGTAATTGAGCCCCACGAGTGCTCCTGATCTGCTCTTCAAGAGATTCGATCATTGGTCCCATTGAGGCAAACATCAGATCACCGCTGTCGATAGTGACTTCGCACGGACCCCCAGACGACATGGCTCTTCACAACTACAAAGAAAACTATTACGACATACAAGAAATATTAGCAATAGCGCACGTTGAGAGCGATTCTCCATCGTTGTAATTAGAATTACTCTGAGTGCGGCAATTTCATCGCTGACATTACACACTAACCTACAGAAGTGAAAATAGTTTACAGATCCATCAGAGTCATTGGGCAAAAATGTAGTCGAAGGGTGAAGGCAGCCCTCACTCACACTAACCGCTAGAGGGCTAGAAGGGCTTGCCCTGCCGGCTTGAAACAATGCCCCTCCAAGCAGGAAAAGATTGTTAGCAACCCACAATTTTGAAGAGAAATGAATCAGTGGTCAATTGAATGTACCATTTTGCCCATCCTAGCTTTGCGCACGAGGCAATCATCTCACTCACCCCGGGTCCTTCCTTCCTAAACCTAAGCAATATGGCCAAAAAACCATTCCAAGTACCATTACTGGCTCGTGGAGCCGGTTACTCCACCTTCTCTATGCCTTGACATATGATAGTCCGACGTGAATGCGCACCGACATGTATGACGATGGGCCTATTCCATTACAGAGACAGACCGGAGTGGAAAAGTGGGACTTTTATCAAGACTTGCTTGTGTTTTGTAAGGTAAGGGTAGCTGCGGTAACGCCAAATGTTACGGACTCGCTCGCAAACATTTGAGCACACACTTAGTGTGCATCGGGTTATCCCAAAAAAATTTAAGAGTCAATCAAATATCCAAAAAGTAACTAAAGAGCCCTATAAGTGAGAAACGAATACGTCAGAAAATTGATTTGTTTGAATGCTTGAGTCCTTTATGGAGGAACTTTAAGGAAGCCATCCCAAATACCTAACGAAAACGGGAAGTTCAACTGTTGAATCAGCCTCGAAATTTTGTATAGAGCAATTTTACAACAGACTTGACCAAAGGTTTCAACTTTCCAGTAAAACAGACCAATAAAATGACAAAGGAGCGCTTCTATCGACGATGACGAGGACCAAAAATCGTTGCTCGACAATAATCCCCACTACGCAATGACTGCACTGCTCAATGACAAAATATCATCATCATTTTTGGGTACTATTCGAACAACTAGAGTAATATTTCTAACTACTGAAAACTTTTGAAGAAGCAAAAGTTTCCAGTGCGTTTTATGGCGATGCAAAAGCCTTACTGAGAATTGCAAACATTCAATAGCATAAAAAGTATCTTTGCAAACCTCCCAATATTCAACAACGCATTCAGCATAAGCAAAATGACGGAATCAATCAAAATACACAAGTTCGTTGCGATAGAAGAAGGAATCCTTACAGCTGGTCAGTGTATAAAAATACCTTGAACAATCTGTGTGATTGCACAAACTATGCCATTACAGTAGGCTTACGCCTAAAAATTAATAATCATCAGCACTTTTAGTGTCACCGTCTAAAGGGTAGGTAGTGATCACTCAACAGTTACGTTTGCTTAATACTGGACTTGAAATTCCTGAGGCTTAGGCGAAAACTATATTTCTTTGGCTAAGATCCGTCTTAAGCATGAGCGAAGTCGGCTACACCTCCTTGTGCTCAGGCAATGGCGATGCGGCTGGACCACCCCTCTCCCCCTTCCCCTCAACAACATTTTCACCTCCATGAATGATGTGTACGTATCACTGATTCGCCATAAACTATAGAAATAATGGAAACTGTAAAGGACAAAGAGGGGGCAAGTACGAAGGCTGTATGGAAGGGTAGTAACTCAAGGTACCGAAGCCATCATTGCTACCCTTGGCCCCTCTTACTTCCTAACGTTCAAAATTAAATGCATAGTACCAGATTCCTCAGTTAAAATAAGAACTTCGACTGCTCTCCTGAAACCTCATGCTGCAGGAGTTACACGAATTTGAATATTGTTCCAGAGAAAACTCAAATGCATGGCGCACTCCATGATGCTGATCAATGGTGGAGACTTTATTTTTGCTTTATTTTATACTATGAAACAAGACAAATTTCTGCAACTGAATGATGTATAAGTACAGGTTATGAAGACAGCAAATCAGATATTCTGAACAGAGACTCTGATGGTGCTCGTAACGAAACAATCGGCAACAAAACATTATCAATTAATAGATGGTGCAATAAGCACCTACATAAACAGTTGCTCCTTGAAAAGCAACTCAACGTTGACGTCAGTAGCGGGCGAGTATGAACCCATCCGCCATCTATGGCAAGGTGTTCATACTTACCGGATCGTCGGCATGGTATTTATCACGGCAGATACCGCGTACGGCGACCTGATGGGCTGGACAGGAGCTCTCACATTTCTTGACGATACGCTCACCAACAATTCGAAGCACTTGCACCTGGCCGGCCGGGCATGGTCCTGGAATTCGGGGTACAGTAGTCATTTGGGAACTCGTATAAAGAGGTCCATACACCTAACGGTTTTAAGCGAGCCACTCCCTCGATTGCGTTTGGACCTTCAAACTGAGCCCGAATTTCCCGATTTTAGAAAAACTTGGCAGGTTTTTATCTAACGGATTCATTCCCACGAAGCGCTTATTTAAGGCGATTTTGGAGAAAATATAGAGGCTCTGTTTTCTTTTTTGTTTTTTCCTAACGCCACTTCTTCAGCTTTTTCTAATATCTCATAATTTTATAGCTTTATTACCTGTCGTGGAGTCCTTCTTATTGTTGTTGTTGGTGACGACGCGATTCCTTGGGTCTGGTCTTCTGACAGCGTTGTCACTCGTTGAACAGCATTGGAATCGCTTAGTTGTCGTGCTACGAATACATCTGTATCCAGCTGGACAGGATCCCGTACCGACGTTACTGCACTGCACTGGGGTACCGGTTGAAGGGAACAACAATGCAACGCCGGAAGGACATCCGTGATTAGCTGTGAAGGCAGAACAGCAGTAGTAGTTTTTACTGACTCGAGAGAAGGTGCATTTGTAACCGGACGGACAAGGACTGTTCGTGCAGAGCTTTGGTTTGCCATTCATGAGGTAGGCAGAGCCTTTTTCGCACACTTCCGGAACTGATGTCGTCGTTGGTCCAGGGGCTTCCGTATCGGTCTCAGTCTCAGGATCTGGACCAGGTGCGCCTGGCTCAGTGATTTTGGAGAACCGAGGCCGGGTCTCCGGTCCAGCGCTGCCACAGCAGATGTTTTGCTGAGCGGTTTCCGAGAACTGACAGCTATATCCACGAGGACAAGCGTTTCTTATCGATGGCTCACAGTATTGAGCACTATTGGTTTGCCTGTCGATGTAAGGCATCTGTCCGGCTATGGGACATGTAGCGGGTTTCCGAGACTTCACTTTCTTCACACAGACACCGTCAACTTTGTCCTCTCCAGGTGGGCAGGCACAAACACTGCCGTCACAGGTCGAGCCACCTTGACACTGTTCATCAGCCTCACAGGCTTCTCCGATTTCGACCTTCGGTAGGCATGTACCTTTCACGTCCACTTCATTCTCACCACATGCGGATTGACAAATACCATTCACATAGCTCTGGTTTTCGGGGCAAGCACAAACGCCAGCCTGGCAGATAGCACTGGTTGGGCACTGTACTTGGTTACTGCATGGTTCGCCGATGGAGACACGGTTCAGGCACTGACCATCGACAGCGACTTGTTTCTCCGAGCAAACTGAAAGGAAAAGACACTAAACAAAGTGTACTGCAGCTACATATACAAGACAACTTGGATAATAAAAGCGAAG